TATTCGGTGAAGCGCGCGGAAGCATTGGCACGACGCACACGCGCGCGCAGTTGCTATAATAGGGACCATTAGAAAACCGTGCAGGTACGGGATCACTGATCTCTATATAAAGACTGAATAGCGAATATGCATACAACATTCACACAGAAGACTTTGCATATTGACCAATTCGCCCCCGGTCTCACGAAGATGGCTGCGTATAGTACGGACGTTTTCCGCGTAAATACGCGCGCGTTGTATTAACTATTGACGCGCATTTTGGTCACGTACACATATTATGATGTTCTAAAAGGGACACATTTCCGTAGTGATTATTATTTCAAAAACGCCAAAAAAGTGATCTGCAGCATTATAAAAGTAACCACGACGTTAGAAAATTGTAGTAAACCTTGGTCAGTGGTGGTGGTCAAAATATAAGTCAAGTGAACCGCGATGTTACAAAAGAAATCATGCTGTCTATAAATACGGCACTTTGTCCTTTGTAGATCACCAGCCGGTCTCACCGGTCTCACCAATATGGCGTCAAATTCATTCATTGTGCGGCTCTTTATTAGCTATCCAGTCTTTATATAGAGATCAGTGTACGGGATGCGTGTGCGTATTATGACGTCATGCGACGTTTACGTATCGCGTACGTGCATCGTTGCTGAGAGGATTAGATTTTTGTGACGAACGGACATACAGGAGGGCGTCCTCCTCTGTTGATGACGAACAGCTGTGGTGCGTTTCATAAAACTTCCCGAATAATCTTATCCTGCCAAAATCAATCTTATCTTCAAAGCAAACCCTGAAATTTACAATAAAACTTATGTCCCTTGCAAAAAGAAATTTTAGTCCGAATCAAACTTAACTTTACACTTGATCCGAATCAATTGTAGCAGTAAAACAATCAATCTTAAATGTAATTTTTGGTGGGGAAAATGTTTTAAAAATTAACATTCTGCCAGAATGAGTTAAATCGCTGCGACTTATCATGGATTTTTCTGCTGCTTTTGATGCAGAATCCTTGTGCTTTGCAAAGGGAGAGAGTCTTTAAGGACAGGAAGAACTATTTTGATGCATAGGATGACAATGAAGGTGAAAATGATGCTACTGAAGCACTTCACGGGGGCGCTGCCAGGGGCCAAAATAATTCATCACATTTCAGTGAACGTTTGACCTCATGTATGGATGAGACCTCTGCAATTTTATTATTTAAAACATGAAAATAATCTACACAACTAAAAATACAATGACATGTATATTTCACGAAGACAACACTTCAATACTCATTGAACTGAACTGATGCAAAAAGGTATTTTTTTTTTAAAATAAACATTTCATACACTTACAGGTACTTGATTTTTGGTAAAATGTTGCCGAATTTGAGTTTTGCAGACAATGTGGGCCTTATTTACGAGTTGGCAACTATTGTCGAGTTCCCTGATTGTATTTCATCAATTGTTAACAGTTGAATGGGATGGCGCCAGACTAATTATGCAGGCACAAAATATGACTTTAAATATAGGGGAATGTTTAATTACAAATTCCAAAAATTTAGATTTTACCTAATTTTCAATGCAATATGGCCGACTCGTGAATAAGGCCCATAATGCCCAATGTAAACACAACTTCCACAACCACCTTTTGAAAATGAACAAACTTTTAATGAAGAAATTAACATTAAATGTACAAATGTGCAGGGACAATTATTGTTTGAAACATGCTTGCCACTTCAAATATTATTCGAATTCCATTCAATGTCTTTGATTTTGTTCGTGAATTTAAGTTATTCATTTAAATAAATAAAGACAAAGTTAATTTGCATAGATGGAAGACACTCCAAGATGTCTTTCTGAACAGCCCAATTTGGTTTCATTAGTGCAACTTGGACTTCTTAATTTGCAACAGCTCCTCCTCCACTTCGAGTTCTTATTTTGTAGCCTCAACAAACTAATTTTCTTGTACATTAAAGTAACGCACAAGGTGTCCAATAAAGTCAATAGGCCTACATGCAACTTCTTTGTCACCAACCAACTGCAAAAGAGACCCGTCTCCGTCTCTTGTCCTCAGACTCCATACTTTGTCTGCAGTGCCAAGGCATCTATGACTAGTTCAAATGTTTCCTATGCTGGTATGGATCCTCCTATCCTGGTAAGAGACAAGTTCAGAATAGGAAATGAGATGGATTTCTGGAGAAAGGCATGGGTCTCTATTGAGTAACAGTTGACCAAACGTACAATTTATTTGTAGAGGTTACACAATTACAACAAAAAGAAAGGTGATTTTTTTCACTAAGTGATTTCAAACCTTCTTGTAAGAGCCACGAACCTAAAAGAAATGAAAACATATGGCGCCGACATTTAATCACCACATTTTATCAAAGCCTAATTAAGAAAATCCTGTCTATTGTCAGGCAGAAGAAAACCAGTTTGGGGTCTTGGATTACCTGCAGCCTGAGTCTGGACCTTCAAATCATTCCATTTCTTTCTAACAGCCATCCAGTCTCTTGTCGGTGGTCCTCTGGCTACTCTGATCAACTTGGCTGCTTACAGCGATTTTGCTCCTAGTTTCAACCTGATTAATAACCATACTACTTCAGCTATTTTTGGCATGTGTTGCAGTAAAAGAGCAATACAAATATCAAATATAATCTGCTCAAGATCTCGTACTGTAAATACCAGAAACATTTTTTGCCATGCAATATTGCAATTTAACATTTTGAGTCGTGAGGGAACATTCATAGAGTTGTATATTTGTGGCCTATTGTTGTTTCTGGCACTCTACACTGTTTTTTTTTAACTGATTCATTCAACCTGCCATCATGTTCATTACATTGTTTAACATAATTATGCCACATGTAGTCCCATATGCTGGGAGAGACAGCCTCCCAACCCAACACATTTCTGGTCCTACTTTTTCTAAATACATTTTCAAGGAACACAAAGCATTCTGTACGTGCAGTTATATTCAGACATGGAATCAGGATATAAGATTTTTACAGTCTGGCACAGAATTGTTTGGCAGTTTACAACAGAATTAGAGGTATTCTAAAAGCTAAGACTTTTGACTCTAAATCAGTTTAAAACTGACTTAGAGTCAAAAGTCTTAGCTTTACCTGTAGCCATTTTCTTTGCTTGCACCTGACGTATGTCAGTCCATTATCTGGCCTGTGGACCACCAGCCACTCTTTCGGCACCAGCTTTTCTTCTTCCTTGCCTCAACCTTTCAAGTAATGAAAAAAAAAACATTTGGGTGAATGCCATAAGGACCACAGCATTCAATATATGATTTATCTGAAAACAATACTAGCCACAGAGTTTTTTTTATAGAGACACAACATCATAAAGGAGCCAATTAAGATTCTTGCTAAAATGCACATTGTTAAACCATGGAGGTATTCCTATCTCCATGGTTAAACAAACATTAAAACAAGCCTTCTTGTCCACTTAATTATTAACTAATTGATTAATTAATTAAAATGGATATTTATACACTGATTTTGTTTTTATTTAATTCTTTTGGCCATCCATACACCCTCTGGATTGACGACACACTAAACAAACACAACTATTCAATTGTACATAGAGAAGTAATTAGAAATATTCGTTACCCCATTATGTGGATCAGGGTATTAAGTCCCTGCTTGATTCCACGGGTTTTCCCTAGAATGTCATTCCGGGGTTTTCCTCCCGCCACTAAATTTGGTATTTCCATCCATATCCTCTACCATGCCAACAGACCCAACTGAAAAAAAAGTTGAGTTAGCCTACTGCCACATACATGACATAGGTTATCCCAGCCACTTGTCAAATAATACATACTACTACCTACATGATGTAGGTGTGTATAAGTTGCAAATCGCGGAAGTGACCGTCAGGTTGCAACATTTTTTTTACAAATAATTTGACTTCAGCATGTCCAGACAGTTTGTATAAACAGGGGCCCTACACTACACATTCGCATTTTTTTTTTAAATAGGGGGCCTATATTTTACTTTAGCATGTTTAGTGACAGAAGCCCTTTGCCTTTGTAACATGTCATGAGCTTACACAGGCACTTCAGATATATGTGGGTTTTTTCACACACAGAGTGGACCATAATTTATAGTTCACGACGAAGCAGGATATGCCGGTTAGTTATATCATCATCATGAAGCTATCTAACACGGCGATCATGAAGTGTAGGGCCCCTGTTTTGTTTTGATCAAATAAGGGTCAAAAATATTTTTTATTGCTCAAAAATCACCTTTACAATCAAAAGCAGACTTTCTCAATTCTAATGACACCCATTTTGCAATTTGAAAAGATTCTTGGGGTAGAAATCACGATTTTGGTAGGTCTAACAGTTTGGTAGGTCTAATAATTTTAAAGTGGATTTTGTTCCCTTATTTTATCACGATCGCCTATATTTTATCACGATAAGGATGCAACGTTAAACCATACCTCCATGGTTAAACAAAATAAACTTTCGCCGATTTTTTTAGCTGAAAAGTAAAGGCTCAATAATATAATAAAATCCCCATCACATCTTTGTAATTTTTCTTTTAATAAAACTGTTAACATTATCTGCACACTATAATTGAAAGTTGTAAAATTTGGGAGTTCATAAGATAAGTATTTTTGCCGTGCGATGCAGAAACGCCGTGCGAGTGCGTTGAAATTTACCGCACAACTTGATGACGTCATCCACAGTTTTTCCGAGCTGCACAAGCATCCCGTATCTGCATCGATTTCTAATGGTCCCTAATTCGTCGGATCAGTGCGCGACATCGCGTATAGCTGCAATCGGCTCAGTGAGAACGCGTCTCGGACGCTGAATTCAAACACAATTCAGCAACTTTTGATTTAAAATTGAGATCCTAGAATGCTGTTTTTCTCGGAATACACAGCTGAAGCTGAGCTGAAACTTCATCAGGTGAATTGTTCAGTATCCTTCATTAGATTTTGAACACTTGTGTTGCTTCAAACGAACAAACTGCACAAATTACAAATGATGGACTATATCTTTAACAAGCAGTCTCAAGGCTGAGGGATGCAAGTCACTTTTTTGGTGGAAATATACCGCCGAGACCCATCCTTCTTCCGGACCAGCACCACCGGGGATGACCAAGGGCTGTGGGAGGGCTCGACCACGCCGTCCTGCAGCATCTGTTTTACCTGTCGGTCAGCCTCTTGCCGTTTATGTATCGTCAATCTCCTCGGCGGTTGACGTATAGGCGTTGCTGTCCCTGTATTTATTGTGTGTCGGGTCAGTTCGGTCTGACCAAGTTTGCCGTCCGGGCCGGTGAATGCTCCAGCGAATTCCGTCAGCAATTCAGCCAGTCGGGAACGTTCAACACAGTCAAGGTTCGCGGCTCCTCGCTCCAGGAGGTCTTGCAGATGGGGCGGTACCTCTCCCTGGGCATCCGTCCTCTGTCCGGTGTCATCCAAAGGGAGGTGGTTGACGGCAGATCCTTGTTGCCCGTCCTCCAGCTCAAACACATCCAGACCCTCCATCGGTGAGAAGAGAGCCAAGCGGCTGCCTTTGTAGACCGTAGCGACCGTGACCCAGCAATTGTCCGTAGCCTCCAAGCTGGGGTAAACCATCCCGACTCCCATCCGAGGATCGCCTCGTGACCAGCTGGGATTATCATGTTCTCCGTCACCTGCACTCTCGCCACCATGGATTTGTGCATAACACTTCCCAAGGGGACCGCCTTCCCGTTAATGATGACAGCGTTGTCTCCCCATCGCCATTCGCAGTGATACTTTGACAAGAAATCAATTCCGAGTATCACGTCTGGCTCGATATCGGCCACAGTAAAGGTGTGGTTTGCGCACAGATCCCCCACTTGTAAATCGAAATTGCCCCCTCCTCTTGTCGGCATGGGGCTGCCGTCCGCCATCCTCAGAGCTGGAGATGACGGAAGGAGGTTCGGTCTCTCGGCACCGGACCAGGCGTTGTAGATTCGCTCCGAGATCAGACTCACTGTTGCTCCGGTGTCTAGGAGGAAACGCACTGGTTTCCCCGCGATCCTCCCCACCACGTAGTTCGCCTTAGACGTCCCACCCGAGGCCGGTCTGGCCCGAACAGGCTCCGGCACAGGAAGTTTCGGTGTTTCCTCTTTCTGTGGTCGTGGCTGGAAGAAGGCAGACTGCCGTTTCTGATGGGGGCAGTACCGTCTGATGTGTCCAAATTCGTGGCACCCATAGCACTCCACCTGGGCACGCGCACCTGGTGTATACATGGCCCGGGGGCCGATTTGGGCTCCTCGGCAGGGGTTGGAGGAGGCTGGGCTACCGACCTCACGTCCCTAGCCATCGGGGTTTTTTTTCTGTTCTGCGCTTGCGACTCCAGAAATACTTCCATTTCGGTCGCCAGAGTGACTGCCTCGGTCAAAGTCGTCGCTTTCCCGGAGAAGATGTGACGCTGCAGCTGTTCTTCTCCCAGGGCATTGAGGAAAGCCTCAACCGCCAAATCCTCACGGGCCTGCGTGGGCCACTTCGGGTAGCTCTTCAAGACCAACCGTCGGATTGATTGTCCTAGGCTACCAAGTGACTCGTCCGGGCCCCTCGTACGCATAGACAGCTGTGCCCGGTGTAGCGGAATCTGTGCTGTCTCGCCAAACCGTTGCTCGAAGTTTTCCAAGATGGAGTAATATTCCTTCCGTGCCTCTGGTGTCATATCCGCCAATGCCTCCTGAGCCGCACCCTTTAGGTGAGATGCAAGGAACATCGCCTTCCCCGCCTCACTCCACTGATTGACTGCTGCCACACTCTCGAAATGGATCAAGTAGTCCGACCACGATGAGATCCTGTCAAACCTGTTGGGGAGCATCAGTGGTCTCCGACCCCGCTTGACTGGCACTGGGGTAGCGCTGTCCCCTGTCTGTTTAGGGGCCGCCCAAACATCGCCTACAGCCTGCCGTCCCGTAACAGCAGAAACTGGGTCGGTTCCCCCTGGGATTACCGGGTGGTGACATCCCATGGGATCCCCCAATTGCAGTGGTGTAAGGCCGAGCAGCCGGGTCGGTTCCGCTCCATTGACTCCCGTGCGGAGTAATCTCGTCCCATTGGTTTGTGCGCGGAGCAACCTTGCCGGCTCCGCCCCATTGGCCTGTGTGCGGGGCAGCTCTGCCCCATTGACTCCCGTGCGGAGCAGCTCTATCGGCTCCGCGCCATAGACGTCCTGCGGAGCAACCTTGCCGGCTCCGCCCCATTGGCTTGTGTGCGGAGCACCCCTGCCGGCTCCCCTCCATTGGTCCGTGCACGGAGCAACTCTACGGGCTCCTGTCCATTGACTCGTGTGCGGAGCAACTCTGCGGGCTCCCGTCCATTGACTCGTGTGCGGAGCAACTCCACAGGCTCCACTCCATTGACTCGTGCGCGGAGCAACTCTGTCGGCTCTGCCCCATAGACTCCCGTGCGGAGCAACTCCGTCGGCTCCGCCCCATTGACTCGTGTGCGGAGCAACTCTACGGGCTCCCGTCCATTGACTTGTGCGCGGAGCAACTCCACGGGCTCCACTCCATTGACTCGTGCAGTGCGAGCCTGCTCCGAGTGGAGGTCAGGACTCGCCATACTGCGATAGTGGGGACGAACGTACTGTAACGGACAGTCTATGCACATTTTTTGTTGTCATTGCTTTCTAGCGCTGGTGCTCCGGCGGAGGGGCTCCGGCGGCGCAAGCCTGACCTGGTTTTGGGTCTGGCTGGCGCGCGCTCCGGAAATAGGCTCCGGAAATAGGTTGCTTAAGTGGGTTTCTTTTAATGGGGGACGCGGGAAAGGTCTGGCAAGATGCCGGGGTCATTGCAAGTTGTTACAATTGTATACATGTGTTCAGACTGTGTGTATTTCTATGCTGGGAATCAGCAGTCGTGGTACTGGTAGCAGTGTGGCAGGTTGACCACAGAGTTGTTGTGCTGAATAAATGAGAGTTTCTTCAGAAGTTGGAAATCCTGTGTGTTTGTCCCCTTTCCTTGCGTTTGGCCAGACTCGGAGGACAAGAACCCAATAAGGTCCCGTTACAGTACTGCTGGGGGAGATCCACTACCGGTCGTGCCGCCTGAGGCGCGCTCGGACGGTTTCCCGCCCCCATTATATGGGCAAATCCAACCTGGGGGCGCCCCGAATGGGAGGCCGCAACAGTCGTATCCATGTTAGCACTGAGTGGTGCTTAGATGTGGGGCCTAGCACTATTTTCATGAGCGTAGGGGTTGTGGGTTGCCCCAGGACGAAAACCCGCCCCCGCTGCATCAACCAGCACAGCTCGGAATCGCTCCGAATGGAACAAGACGTCTGCTGCGCCAGCGTCTACAGCACGGGGCGGCCCCTCGCGGGACCTGGCATGTACTGTGTTATTACCAGCAAACTGGGGTATGTCCCGACGAAGCCCCGCCCCCGCTGCATCGGACAGCACAAATCGGGATCGCTCCGAGTGGAACGAACCATCTATTGCGCCATCGTCTACAGCACGGGGCAGCCCCTCGTGGGACCTGGCCTGTACTGTGTTATTACAGAATATCTGGGGTATGTCCCGACGAAGCCCCGCCCCCGCTGCATCGGACAGCACAAATCGGGATCGCTTCGCATGGAACGAACTGTCTACTGCGCCGCCGTCTACAGCACGAGGCGGCCCCTCGTGGGACAGGGTACCAGTCATTGATAATTTATGGTAATGAGCATGCCCATCCCCCGCAGGGGTAGACGTACTGCAATGACTTAACCCCCGCCCAAGTCCCGAAATTCCACATTACCACCCCCACATCCTCCCTCATGAGAAAATCCGTCCCCAGAAACCCCCTTGTTTCCCCTTTCCTCCCACCAAAATTCCCCGGACTATCCCTCAAAAAGGATTCCAACTCGTCCACCGTGACGAAGGTACTGCCGGCTGATCCACTAGACGGGCCCCCACTCCGTGAGCCCGCACTCCAGCCTGCCTCCACGCCGTGTTGCGAGTTAGGTGCCAGACTTCCGTGAACTCCTGATTTCATTGCAGAAAATCTCTGAAAAAATACCTGTTTTTCCGCCTTCTGCGTGCCGCTGCTGCTACCAATGTAATAATAATAATAAAATTGCATTTATTATGCGCATATACCAGAAAATGTTCAAATGCGCATTACAAAAATTGTTTAGCTAAGATATTAAAAATACAAATTCGAATTAAACATTAATCTTAAATGTAAAAAACACTAGATATTTTAGAAAACACTGTCATAGCAATGAAACTTAAAATTACAAAAACAAGACCTACATTAAAAATAGATATAGTAAAACCTTATACGAATGCCTTTGTAAAAAGAAAAGTCTTAAGCTTAGTCTTAAAAACTGTTAGAGACTGAACAGACTGAAATTCAAGCGGTAGCTGGTTCCATAAGCGGGGAGCGGCTTGTGCAAATGCACGATCCCCCATAGTCTTTTGCATTCTCCCAGATGGATAATCTAAAAGCAAGCGCCCATTGGATCGCAGGGAATACTTGGAATGGACCTTAACTTTCAACATATCTATAATGTATCTGGGAGCAAGATCATGAAGAGCCTTGAAGGTCAACAGAAGGATTTTAAAGTGTATGCGAGATTGTATAGGCAACAAATGTAACTGATAAAGTAGAGGAGTAACATGGTTCCACGATGGTTTGCCACAAACAAGCCTTGCTGCAGCATTCTGAACCCGTTGAAGCTTAACTAATTGTGAATTTGGTAAGCCATAATATAGGCCGTTGCAATAATCAAGGCGACTGGTTATGAAAGCATGCGCTAAAGTAATCAATGCATCTCTTGACAAGTATTTCTTGATTCTTCTGATATTGTGAATGTGATAAAAAGTAGTGCAGCATGTGGTAGTAATCTGCTTATGCATACTCAATTTTGAGTCGAACCAGCAACCTAAGTTACGAACTTGTAATGAAGGTGATATAGTACAGTCTCCCACATTGATACCAGATATAGTCAGTTTAGATAATTGCTGTTGACTACCAATAATGATAAATTCAGTTTTGGCATCGTTTATCATAAGTTTATCTTGTAGCATCCATAGTCGTATATCCCTTACACAGTTTTCCATGGCAGTCACCGCTTGCTCTTGGTTGTCTGAACTACAAGGTTTAAATGACAAGTATAATTGGGTGTCGTCGGCATAGCAGTGAGTGTTAGGAAGATGTTGTTCTACTATGTCGAATAGTTTAGATGAATAAATACTAAAAAGGAGTGGTCCCAAACATGATCCCTGTGGGACTCCACAATTCAAGTTGAATTTATCCGACAATTGTCCGTCCAATAAAACACGTTGACTCCTACCGCTTAAATAAGAATTAAACCAGTTTAAAGCTGCACCAGATATTCCAATTTTAGACTGAAGGCGGTTGAGTAAGATTTTTTGGTCAACCGTGTCAAAAGCAGCGCTAAGATCTAAAAGTACAAGTAAAGTAACATGTTGATTATTCATCTTCATTAAAATATCATTCTTCACTTTCAGTAAGGCAGATTCGGTGCTATGATATTTCCTGTAGGCTGACTGAAGTGGTGGATACAATGAGTTAACAGTCATATGGTCATGGATTTGTTCAAACACAGCCCTTTCAGTTAACTTTGATATATACTGGAGATTA